ATTTCTTAATTTCTCACACTTTTTTAGATTTTATTCATATTAATTTATGTTTCATATATAAATATTTGATGTGAAATGAAAGCCCTGTTTCTCCTGAATAAAGTGATATATAATAAGTGTCGGTGCAGTTAATATGAAAGAGGTGACCTATGGTTGAACAGACAAATAGCTAATGAGACAAACAGAACCTCGCCACTGGCTTTTGGAGGAGCATTCTTGCCAGCCTCCTGCTCCAGGACTATGGCCCCTGCAACAGACCTGGCTAAAATACTTTAAAAAGACTCTGCTCGTGCAATTGGGATAATATAGTTTGGTTCCCGAACAGCCGCACGAACCAGTGACCACCCCGGAGCTTGTTAAACCCTATTAACACTTAGTAACGATTCTAACCGCAGTGTTCTAATTGTCCGTTTGGGTGGCCACTGTTCACATGAACGCAGGCAACGGTGTTTGGTCGTCGAGTTCCCGGAACTATAATTGGACACACAGAACACCGCTGGACTTCCATCATCGCCTGTGTTCGGTTCTATACAATTTAGAAGGGCACTGTTTGGTGGAAGAACATTGACTATGTGTAACGAATTCATCCGCTTATAGTAATGTGCTTGATGGTATTTACTGTCCTGATAGGAATAATTGTGCCCATCTACAGCCATGCGCCCGGATACCTGATAAACCCAGCATGTCTAGGGGCACTGGCTGCTGTGGATCTATGCCACTTTATAGCCCTATGACTGCCTACGTTGAGCATGACATTTTGGGGGTCAAAGGCTGATTACAGCCAATCAGAATAACAGGAGGGGTTATTTAAGCTTACTTTTAGATTCTCTCGTTGCCCTGTAGTGGTTTCTGCCTGATGGTAATCCAAGAGTGCGTTCCTGATCTTTATTATTTTGGTATTTGACTTTGTTCTGACTTTCCTGTTTTTTGGTATCCCTGACTTTTGGCTTTTTCTCATCATTGTGTCCGATTCTGTATCCCTGACCTCGGCAAGTATTCTGACTATCCTTGGATACGTTAAGTCCGGCCATTCTGTGTGCTGGATCAATTTGTAATCCTAACACTATGTTGGGTAGTTTGTTGGTTTTTACAAACCGGACTTTACATAGGACACAAGGTCATGCGTTTAGACTGGAAGAAAGAAGATTTCATCTAAGGCAAAGGAAAGGTTTTTTTTACTGTAAGAACAATCAGGATGTGGAATTCTCTGCCTGAAGAAGTGGTTTTATCAGAGTCCATACAGATGTTCAAACAGCTACTAGATGCATACTTGCAAAAACAGAATATTCCAGGTGTGACGAAGTGCCCTTCGCCACTTGGTCCTGGAGAGGCCTACTTGCCAGCCTCCTCCCCTGTGACTATGACTCTTTCATCTATCTGGCTTTAAAGCCCCTAGTCTACCTTCAGACAGACTATTTATGTGGGCTGCTTTATTTATCCTATGTTTTAGTCACCCTGTACCCATTATAGGTGCAGGGTGTGTGTAATGTAATTGTTTATAGTGTGTGTGTGTGTACTGTGTAATGTATTGCCTGCTCTCTTGTATTGCTGAGGTTTGCTACCAACTAGGTGGGTTTGGCTATGGAGCTGGTCTAGTGCCCTCTGTTGGTAGCAACAGCAATATGCACTACCTGAATTGCAAGACTGGTTCATTTGCATATTCAGGTAGATTTGCATATTGCTAATTCTGCAGGCAGGTGAGATATTTACTGTTAAATATTGTCTCCCCCTACCCCTTTAAAAATGTGCCATTGTGTTGTGATAAGTCACTGTGTGTTGCTTGTAAAAACCATTGGTCACCCAGATCGGGGCTATCAGACGATGTAACTTTTGTGGTTTTTTTGTGTTTAAATGTATTTTTGGGGTTTTATAAAAATGTGTGGCTTTTGTGTCTGGAGATAATAGAGTTTAGTTCAGTTCATGATCCAATTATCTCCCAGGCATAAGGGAGGAATTGTCTCATTTTGTATGGGAGTGTCCTGGACCTGAGAGCCAATGTCATCGCATGTATGTTTGTACTGTAGTCTACTCTCAGGTCCAGGGGGGACCGGGGGAGTGCCTCTTACATGGGGATTGTCATAAAAGGCCAGTTGTGGCTATCAATAAACCAGTTTCAGGTTCCCCTCAACACAGAGCCTCATCTCATGCTTGTAGGGGAAAGCTATACCAGCTATAATCACTAGCTCTTGGGGTTGTTCTTTGGATTGCTATAATCCCTGCTCTTGGGATTGTTTTTTGGATTGCTATAATCCCTGCTCTTGGGATTGTTTTTTGGATTGCTATAATCACTAGCTCTTGGGGTTGTTTTTTGGATTGCTATAATCACTAGCTCTTGGGATTGTTTTTTGGATTGCTATAATCACTAGCTCTTGGGGTTGTTTTTTGGATTGCTATAATCACTAGCTCTTGGGGTTGTTTTTTGGATTGCTATAATCACTAGCTCTTGGGGTTGTTTTTTGGATTGCTATAATCACTAGCTCTTGGGGTTGTTTTTTGGATTGCTATAATCACTAGCTCTTGGGGTTGTTTTTTGGATTGCTATAATCACTAGCTCTTGTAAGAGCTGGAGTAGGAGAGGTCTACCCACTGGAAGCTGGATCCTGGTCAGGCCAAGGATGGTGCTATTTATAGTGTTGCATAATCTGTAATAATGAAACTATATTTAACAATTTGGCAAAGTGTAAACACTACAGAAAGCCACATAAAATGCATATATTTAGTGACAGGATTGTTCTGGTGTTCGCAATACAAACGTGTACTCCTAACAATATAGTGTTAGAATAAATATTTAGTTGTGCAGCCCCCCTCTCTGTAGATTAAATAGGTGACTTAATTTACCTTTTCTTCGCCGCCGTGCCAAAAAAGTCATGTCTTGGGCATCAGTTGACTGGAGATCACGTTGTGGTGGGCATCTCAGTTTTAAATTTCAGTTGGGTATAGCCCAACTCTTTGTAAGGGTGCAAGGTTAAAATTCCAATTCATATGACAAATTAGAACACATCCACTCTACATTAACCCCTTAAGGACGGAGCCAAATGTACACGTGAACGAAACAAAATGTAAACAAAACCTGGAATTTGCGCTACATGTCTGTCCAACCGTAATTCACCTCTTTCATATTAAATACACCCACCCTTATTATATATCATTTTATTCAGGGGAAACAGGGCTTTCATTTAATATCAAATATTTAGCTATAAAACATAATTTAATATGAAAAAAATGGGAGAAAATAAGATTTTTTTGATTTTTTTAGTTCTACATGACATTTTAACTGTCAATGTCATAATACGGTTTGCTTTTACTGCAATAAAATACACATATTTGTATTCAGCAAAGTCTCACGTGTAAAACAGTAACCCCTATGTACAGGTTTTATGGCGTTTTGGGAAGTTACAGGGTCAAATATAGCACATTACATTTGAAATTCGCCAGATAGGTTATGTTGCCTTTGAGACTGTATAGTAGCCCAGGAAAGAAATTTACACCCATAATGGCATATCATTTGTAATAGTAGACAACCCAAGGTATTGCAAATGGGGTATGTCCAGTCTTTTTTAGTAGCCATTTGGTCACAAACAATGGCCAAAGTTAACGTTAGTATTTGTTTGTGTGGGAAAAATGCAAAAAACGCCAATTTTGGCCAGTATTTGTGACTAAGTGGCTACTAAAAAAGACTGGACATACCCCGTTTGCAATACCTTGGGTTGTCTACTATTGCAAATGGTATGCCATCATAGGGGTAATTTTCATTCTTGGGCTACCATAGGGTCTCAAAGGCAACGTAACCAATCTGGCGAATTTTAATGTGAAAAAATGAAACACAAGCCTTATATTTGACACTGCAACTTTTGAAAACACCATCAAACCTGTACATGAGGGGTACTGTTGTACTCGGGAGACTTCGCTGAACACAAATATTTGTGTTTCAAAACAGTAAAAAGTATTGCAGCAATAATATCGTCCGTGTAACTTCACTTTTACTGGCGATATCATTGTTGTAATACATTTTACTGTTTTGAAACACTACTATTTGTGTTCAGCGAAGTCTCCCGAGTAGAACAGTACCCCCCATGTACAGGTTTTATGGTGTCTCGGAAAGTTATAGGGTTAAATATAGTGCTAGCAAATTAAATTCCTTTACTTTCGGCATGGGTTGACAGGCAGGTCCCGCTAATCGTAATTAAGATACCTAATTATGTAAAAATATTTCATAAATATATATGTAGAATTAATATAGGTATATATATATGTATGTGAATATATATGTGTGTATATATATATATATATATATATATATATATATAATTTTTTAAAAATATTTTTATTTATATATAGGTATATATATAGTGATATATACGTATATATTTATGTATGTAGATATATATTATTTTGTTCTACGTGTATTTTGATATAAATATATATATATTAATATCACAATAAAGTTAGAACGAAATAACACACATCTATATATTTTTTAATTATTTTTAAATTAAATTTTTTAACGTATTTACATATTTAATTTTTTTATATTATATATCAGTCTACGTGTAATTTGATATTAATATATATATATATATTAATAGTAAAACACACCTAGACAGTGTATGTGTTTGTATGTATATGTGTATATATATATATATATATATATACTTAGATCATATATATTACGACCGGGTAAGTAAAGAAAGACCAGAGCGCGTACTATTACGCCCAGCGGCGTTTAGAGCCGCCTAAAATAGGGCGTAATAGTACGCCCTCCAGTCTTAAGGGGTTAACCCTTTAAGGACACAGCTTCAGAAGCTGCACATACCCTTAAGGATACATGCAATTTTTTTGCATTTTTTGCTGTTTGCGTTCAACTGTAATTTGCATCTCTCTCATGTATTGTACCAAAAAATATTTTATATACCGTTTTTTAGATGACAAAAAGGGCTTTAATTTGATGTGACATATACATATGTAAATTCTCACTTATTAAAAAAAAGCAAAATAATGGGGGGAAAAACACAGTTTTGGCAATAATAGCGTGTGCATAATATGTCCAGTTTAGGAAAAGTAATTCAAAATCAATTTACAAAGTACATAATGTGTGTAGGATTTCAGTTTATTTTGAAAGTTACAGGTCACAAACTACAAGGTCTAAAATAAAATTTCAATGTGAAATAATTTTAGAAGTTGGTATGTTTGTCTTGGAAGTGTAATACCCATTACAGAAAACAAAATTGGCACACACAAGTATACACACTGCTCAAAAAAATTAAGGGAACACAAAAATAACACATCCTTGTAGCGGAGATACAATATTCCCCAGGTATCTCCGCTTATAATCCAAGTGAGGCTCAGGAACAAGTAAATTGTTAATCCACAGGCAAGGCTTCCAGCAGGCAAAATAACACAGCAGTATCCCAACAGCAATCCCAGTAACTGGACGACACACAGTTTCAGGAGCAGAAATGACAACCTTTATTTCACAGTGCCTTATGTAGCATGCTCCCATGCAAGGGAGGGATTTCCATTCATTAATACAATAGCCAATGCTGTCCCGGTAACCTCCCACACATCTCCTCCTCTCAGCCGGCATCATAATCCCCTTATCCAGTACAGCAATTCCCCCCATTTCTGGATGTACCCCTAAACCTAGGGGTACCCCTTTAAATTATACATCCCCTGGTAGCCCTGATCTGGGTGAACAACGTATCCAAAAATCACCCAGATCGGACCAGGGGTTCTGGAATTTCCTGGAGGGAATAAAATGACCCACCGTGCTGGATGAACTAGCCGAATTGGGCTCCATGCGATGGGGCCCTGCGGTCGGTCCTGGGAAAGGCGAATGCAGTACCTAAAAGCCTCCAGCTATATAGGCTTGGGAGGGTTCGCCTGAATCCCCTCGTTCGGTTGGTAGTTTGGAACCGAACGGACCGGGCTGATGGAGGTCTCAGCGGTGTTCGCCTAATCGAGTGTCCGTTTTTAGTTCCAGACACTCGACGGCAAAACACCGCTGTTCGGGAGGTTAAGATGGCCGCCGCCACGTGTTCGTTTCTCAAATGGCGGCCACCCCTGGGAACAAAGGATTGCTACACAGCTTGTCAATTACCCGTTCGCAACAATGTTGCAACGGGTAATTGAAGGCACACTTCACACAGGGAGGTCTGACTGTTCAGTAGTTTCATTTGAACAAACTAAGGGAATGAAACTACCTTACATTCAGACGAATCCAATACATTTTACACATAGAACTTAGCTATTTTACACAAATATATTCCCTTACTGCATAGACATTTAGCAAATAGACGAATACAGTTTAAACATAATGTAAGTCCCAGGGCAGCTCATGGCCATCCGCTACAATCCTATTCTTGAATTCAATATTCTTCTGAAATACTTTGTTCTTTACATAGTTGAATGTATTGACAACAAAATCACACAAAAATTCAAAAATGGAATTCAAATTTTTCAACCCATGGAGGTCTGGATTTGGAGTCACACTCAAAATTAAAGTGGAAAAACACACTACAGGCTGATCCAACCATGGGCGTGTGTCGTCGTCCCCCCACCCCCCCTGGATTTTTCAGCTCGTGCTGCTATTTTTGGTTTGTGTGAGAATACACTGCAATACCGGCACTGGCCAGTAGGTGGAATAGATAAAGGCAAGAAGCTACAGCTTATCCCTGCCTCTCGCTCATGACTGAAACCGCAGGGGAGCAGCACAGAGGCAAGTGAGGGATGGGGGGCACTATTACCCCCTCACCACCCACAGCACCCTTACTATCACCATCCTCAACATTACCCCCCCCCTCACTATTATCCCCCTCACTATCACCTCCCCTCACCAAACTCACTATCAACCCCTCATCACCCCTCAGCATCACGCCCTCACTATTACCCCCCTCAGCATCAGCCCCTTACTATCACCTCCCTCATCACCCTCAACATCACCCCCTCACTATCACCTCCCCTCATCACCCTCACTATTATCCCCCTCAGCATCACCCACTCACTATCACCTCCCCTCATCACCCTCAACATTACCCCACCTCAGCATTACCCCCTCACTATGACTCCCCTCAGCATCACTCCCTCACTATCACCTCCCCTCACCACCCTCACTATCACCCCCTAATCACCCTCAACATTACCCCCTCAATATCACCTCCCCTCACCACCATCACTATCACC